TGGTATCTTTTAGCATCTAGTTACTCTTCATGCCTAGGTTTGCATTTGAATTCTTATATCTTTTGTCATGCATACACTAGTTATATCATATGGTAGGCGTGCTCGGTTTCATTCTTAACCCTTGGAGCAAACCTACATGGTTTAAAATTAGGAGCACGACACATAGTTTGTCCTTCAATTGTTCATCTAATATATGCCAAAGTCCAAATTGTAGATAATTTCTCCCGAATATCTCCTTCGAAAATGACCTTCACATTCATGTGATGTCATCTTTCAAGTAGTATTTTTTATTCTAAAGTCAATGTGCATGTTTTCTACAAGTATTTTATACTTGTGTGCACAAATTTAGGAGGGGAGGTTACTCTACAAGTTGGATGCCTTGAGACTAACACATTTTCAAGCTTATCATGTGTGTAGTAGTCTCATTACAAGGAAAATGGAGTCCCTAGAGTTAAGCATCATATTTCAAATATCCACCACCTATTGCAAGTGGTAGAAATTAAATTGGTTTCCACATATGGTATTTCTAAACCAATATCATCATGTTGATTTCATATTGATATTTATACGCTTTCTCCATGCATTATATAGATTAAATTCTCTTGAGCAAAAATTTGCCAATTATGCATATGCTTTGTCTTCTACCATATGTATGTATATATTTAGGGGGAGCTTAGTCTATATAATATGAGAGTCAAATTTTGTGATCTATTTCACTCTACCCACAAAAGATCACAAGGTTTGACCCTCCCTTGTGCTACTAATGTCTTCTTTTTTTGTGTTTGATTCCAAAGGGGGAGAATTTAGAGGACCAAAAGTAAGCATTAATTTATAGTAATGGTCCGAGAAAAGGAGGATAGTGGATTATGGATTAGCTTATGTAATGGAGAGAATTTGTAGGAAGCAAGGCTTAAAATCCATAATACCACATGGGGACATTTGCGAGGGCAAGATAAGTTTTTATATAATCTTACAAGTAGTATCTTTTAGCATCATATAATCTTGCCCTTGCATTGCATCCTAACAAGTAGGTAGTTTTTAAATTTTAAAATTTTATTATTTGGTTGCTTTGGTCGTGTTGTCATCAATCACCAAAAAGGGGAAGATTATAAGAAAAATGGACCCTAGGTCCATTTACTTTGGATTTTAGTGCTTGATGACCAACACAACCAAATTGGACTAATAAATTTATAAGTGATTGTTTCATAGTTCAATATGATGCAAGACGTGACTTGGACAAAGGCGATGTGATGATCCGATGATCAACACCTCAAGCAAGACCTTAGGAGCACAAGAGAAGACCCAAGATATCAAGCAAAGTCTAAGTATGAAGATAGGAACTAAGCCGCACGCAAGATCGCGAAGAAACGAGCTCACAGCTGCGACCGGACGTTGGACGGGACGCTGACGAAAAGCGACCGGACGCTCCGATCAGAGGCTCGGCAACAGCAGCAGCAACTAGATGCTGGACCGGACGCTGACGGCAAACCGACCGGACGCAGGACAGCAGCGTCCGATCGAGTACAGAGAGGTTCCAGAGCGGCGAACTTGCGAGCGTCCGGTCGCAAGTGATCTCCAACGGTCGGGACGAGGCTCAGTTGTTCGCGGCTCCAACGGTCGAGACGACCGGACGCGTCCGATCAGGACGACTCCAGCGTCCGATCGGTAGCATAAAAGCGGGACTTCGTCTCCAACGGCTACTTTCTTAGTGGGGCTTATAAATACAACCACAACTGGCCATTTGTGGAGTGTGGAGCTAAGGAAACATATCAAGGGTGTTGGTACACCATTTTAGTGATCTCCACTTGCATAGTGCTTAGTGATTCATCAGGTGATTAGCGTAGGTGCTTTGCGAAGTGCTTAGGTTGATTAGACCACCACTTATGCGCTTGCTCTAGGTTTAGGCCTAGTGTTTAGTGAGGTTTGCACACCTCTTACCACTCGGTGCTTACGCGCACCATTGTTGTATATCGGAGGGGCTTGTAATCTTGCGAGATCATACCAACCGTATTTGTGGTGTGGCCGCCACCGTGTACCGGAGGAAACAAGGCCCGCGGCGTTTCGGCCGGAAGCTTGATAGTGAAGACGGCGGGAAGCATCCGGGAGAGGTTTGCCGGAAGGCACGTCGGAGACCCACTTGCGTGAGGGCAAGGCCCGAGGCTATCCACGGAGTTACCCGACCGGGAGCTTGGTCCTTGCGGGGGATTCCTTGCGAGGGGCTCCAACGAGGACTAGGGGGAAGTTTGCGCGCTTCTCGATACCTCGGTAAAAATATCAGAGTCGTCGACGGGAGTTTGCATATCTCTACCTTGCTCTTTAGCTTCCGTATTTACATTGATTACATTACTCCTTTTGCGGTAGAGATAGCAACACATTAGCAAAATCATAGTTGTACATTTAAATAAGTTTATCTTTTGCATAGGTTTTGCTAAGGATAGAAAAAGAGGCCAAAGTTTATAGTTAGAATTTTAAGTTGCCTAATTCACCCCCCTCTTAGGCGTCACGGTCCCTTCAAGGGGCAAGTGGACAGTGACTGCCAACGTTCAGGAGGCCCCTAAGGTGTTTGCTGGAATGACCAATATGAGTCCAGAGATGTCAGCACCATTACCTGCTACCTTGGTTGACAAGCGACCATGGCCACCTCCTCTGAAAGACAGTAACTCCTTGCTCACAGACACCTGCCTGTTATGCTTACATTCGGGGCATCCCTTTAGTAGTGGTCAGATAGATGCGCTATTGAGGCAGCCAAGGCCACCACCTCTGCTGTTGGACCTGATGGATCCTGATGGTCTGCTCAAGTCAATACCATGGCCATCTTTATGCGAGTCTGGATCTGTTGTGCATTTGCAAAATTCATTAGCATTGGTGCTTGCTATTTCCTTCACAATAGTACAAACATTATCAGTGTGGCAAGAAGTGAGTGTAAGGGCTCTGGACTCCATAACTCTATTGCCGACTTTGTGCTCCCGCGCTAGTGATGGTTTATATCAACTGAAAACTGTGATATCATACACAAACAGTTATATGCTGCTATTCAGTTTCAGTCAGTATGCTTCTCTATTGCTACATTCTAGTCATTGCTATCATCAGCCAGTGCAGTGGAAGCCCCCATGGATATCTATGGTATACATCTTCAGTAGTATACCCTATATTGCCAGCCTTAGGATCAGGACTTCCATGGTGCCTCATTTGTTCTGGTGGCCGGTGTTTGCTAAGTTGAAATTTTGGGATGTTCAGTACAAGATTTTTTGTGGGAAAGTAATGGGTCAATGCTTTTATATTATATATCTGGGGCTGCATCATGATTCCATTATACCAAGGATCATTTCTCCAGTTAGTACCCTATCAGGGAAGAGGTGTTATCGACGGTTCTGGAAACCACCATGGGCATCTTCAGTATGCAAGGTTATCACCTGGAAATTTCTTGCACGGCTACGTAATCTGCAGAGCAGCGAAACCATGGTTGCAATGTTTCTGGGGCTTACCAGAATAAAATCTGTGCTATAATGGCCAACAACTACACTGGATATTATCAAGACCCATGTGCACTATTTTGGTCGTCACATCCTTTGTGGGTCATTATGTCCTGAAGAGAGGGTTGTCTTCAAGTTTGCCAACCATCTATATGAAAGTTTAAGAATATCTGAACTGATTCTATTCCACAAAATTACTTCTGTTGCTTGTGATGTTGGTGATATGCAGCTGAGCCACGGCATCTATATGGTGGTCACTCTGTACATATTCAGAAAATGGACAGTCACATCGGATTTTGATGGCAAATTTATTTTGCATGTCTCCAAAGTCAGAAAGTTACCTGGAGTAAATCAGATTGATGCCGAACTGATTCTGCACTGGGCTGAATACACCAAGAACCATATTTTCTTATTTCGGAGTAAGCATATTTCCTTGGTTACCTTTTACTGGAGCACGAAAAGCAGATTTCAGATAATCCTGTGCATGGAGTATTTTTGCTGCAGCTCTCTAGGGTTATGCCACATACAGATTACAGATCAACAAGAAGCTAGAGATAAGGACTGCTCGGTTACTCAATCTGCACTATCACATCATAGTGTCATCAAGCGTGTGGAGTACACAAGTGCAAGTAAGGATATTTACATGCATCGGTAAGACAGTGAATTGTTTGCAGTCAGTGAGGTTTCACTTCTACAACTTGATGATTGACGATCCTTAACTTGTCATCATGATGGCCTATAGTAGGAAACGACTCCTTTGAGAACCTCCAAGTACAAAATATGGTGAGTGGTTTGCTTCTACATTTGTTCCGCCAACAGTTCCTGTCATTCAGTTTCAAGCATCTACAAGTCAACACTCTAGCACTATGGAAGTCATGTACAAGACAATGACTGATTCTAGCATGCTGGCACTTCAATTCTATAATATGATGATTGAATATCCTTGAAGGCTTGTTGCAGAATGGAGTAACAATGAGGACCTCTGGCGGAAAATATATGTTTATTACATGGTGATTGAAGAACCACAGCTTGAGGGTAAGCTGTTGCTTAAAGAGGGGAGAATGTTATGACATAGTCCTTGGGCTTGTAATAGGATTATGAGTGGATGTGTTTGTTCCGTAACTCTTGTAGAGTCCCATATATGTATACCATCTCTAAGGGAACGATGACATCAGATACGAACAAAACAATTATCCCCTCTCTCACCCATCTTCCTCCTAGCTTCTCTGCCTGAGACGGCACCGCCGTACTCTTCGCCGTGCGTGTTCGCCGGGAAAACCTCTAGTTATCCAGGATCGTGACACCGAACAACCAGAACTCAAAATCTCTTTCTGAAATCCAACTCATGCTCCCAGTCCCAGCAGAACAACCAAGAATCTGTCCAGCGATGGACTCTGGTCCGGCGCCCACGCGCCCAAGCCCAACAGGAGCTTCCGCGGCGGTGGCTTCTCCGTCGTCGTCGTCGTCGTCGTCTTCATCGCTCATCTTTCTTGGCACGGGCTGCTCCGGCGCGCTCCCCGACGCGCGATGCCTCATCCAGCCGTCGAGCCGCCGTGCACCGTCTGCTCCACGGCCCTCTCCCTGCCGCCGGACCGGAACCCCAACTACAGGTGAGCGCTGCGCCCCCATACACTACAGCATAGTCAACCGCAGTCTGTTCAGTGAACGGTTCTGTTTCGCTCGCATAGCTATGTTCATTTCGTACCTTCTATTCCACATAACTGTCAGAGCCTCAAAATTGGTCTTGACCTAGAGAATTCTCGAGTTTTATGCGTCGACCTGCCCCGGAAATCGGCAATCGCAGAATCTCTTCCGGTGTCTCACTGCTACCCGAAGTCCCGAACTGCGTTTTGGCCGTGTTGGCTATCAGAGGCATAGCTTTGTCGCCACTGACCATCTTTTGCCATTTCTACGGATTCCGATATACAGAACTTTGACAGTATGGCTTGTTTTTTAGTAGTATGCAAGTATATTTCCTAGAAAATTGGGTCATTGCATAGCAAAATAGGGGGATTAAAGGCTCCTCAAAGGCAAATCAAAGCAAATATTTGCTAGTGCTTATGTGACTGCATGTACGTCTGGTTTCAGGTGCAACACCTCCCTCTTGGTAGATTATTGCCATGATGATGGGACTCACAAGTACATTCTAATCGATGTCGTCAAGGCCTTTAGAGAACAAGTTCTCCGGTGGTTTGTGCGCCACAAAATTCCTTCCATTGATTCGGTGAGATCTTGATGGGGAATTCTTCATTGACAACAATTGGTGCACATTTTCAGTCAACTAAAAAGGGGGTTCTCTGAAGTGCAGATTATTCTCACGCATGAGCACGCAGATGCTGTCTTAGGCCTGGATGATCTCTGGGTGGCACTACCGAGTAGTCAGAGAAATGAAAAAAGTTCCTATTTTTCTCACCCAGTTCACAATGGACAGGTAATTCTTCCATTTCGAGCTAACTCAGTGCCCACGTTAAATCTGTTGTCGGCCCAACATATATATATCGTGTAATATTGGCCGCTAATTTTTACAGTGTTTGCAGCAAGATTTCCCAACTTGGTTAAACAGAAGCTGCAGGAAGGTGATGACTTTGCCAGACCTGCTCAACTCGATTGGACGATCATTGAGGGTGATGTTGACAAGCCATTTGTAGCATCGGAGCTTGAGTTTTGGCCGTTGCCAGTAAGAGTTATTATTGTGAAATGCTGCATTGATATGGTTACGTTTGCCCCCTGAGCTGTCTAACTTGATGTTGGGATTGTCTGCCCAGGTCATGCATGGAGAGGACTATGTCTGTTTAGGCTTCTTATTTGGGAGGAAAGTCAGAGTTGCGTATTTATCTGATGTCTCAAGAATTCTACCTACAACTGAGCATGGTAGACCTTTCCATTCCTCCATCATTCTCTATTCAAATAGTCAGCTTATATAGAATGCTTATTTGTGAACAATAGTGTTTTTAAATAGTCATGGCATCAAGTTTTTTTTGTCTGACATGATTGGGAATAATGTACTGTTTCAAAAAATTATTGGGAATAATGTGATAACTAAGGTAATTCAGTGAGTAGGAAAGATAATATTGATCCATTATACTTCCATTGAAATTCAGACTGCAGTACAAAGAGGGAACATCAGGATAATTTAGCAAGCAATTCATATAATAGTTCCTGCTAACCTGTATGTCTGTCTTTGGAATAATGCAAATTACATAAATCTATAAAAAAAGGACTTCAATGTTTCATCAAAAGCAACATTCTCCAATATTTTTCTGAACTCAATTTTTTTTTCTGAACCACAAGAGCCTTTCGTATGTTATCAGCTATTGAATTCGTGGCCTTTTTGTAGTTGGATCCCTTCTCTTTGTTCCTATTCAGTTGGTCCATTTTACTGCAATAAACTGCTGACGCGATCTTTGCATGCAGCAATTTCGAAGTCTGGTGCCGGACAAGGGCAACTAGATCTACTTATACTAGAAACAAACAGGTTGCATGGGGCGGTAAGCCTCCACATGCTATTCATCTGAATAAAGAACATCTTTCCTAAACCTTCCATAAAATAGGTTAACTTTCTGATACAGATTTAATGTTCTATGAAAACGATGATGATCGCAGTTGCCATTTAACTCTGAGTCAGGTTATTTAATCAGGACCTCTCAGTATTTTCTGAATTTATAGTAACTTGGTGGTTAAAAATATGAAGTTAATCCATCTTCATAAAATCAGCCTAGAAGGCTAGGACAGATCAACAGAATGGCTCGCAGCCTCAAACCAGGAAGCATTTACAGTCATGCCTGTGAAGATGTATCAGAGAATCTATTGATTTTTTTTTCTCTTAAATACGGAATACCATGTTAACATTTACTGATTGTTGTTGAGTCTTAACGCTATCAAGAGGATATGCCCTAAACAAGCTCTGTTGATTGGAATGAACCACGAGTTTGAACATCATAGAGAAAACCAGCTGTTAGCAAGGTGGTCTTGCAGGTGCGCCTAGTTTCTGAACATTTGTTTCACTCTTTAATTATCTGTTAGATGCCTTGACTGACTGATGTGCAAGCTTGTATTATGACCGTAGGGAAGGAATACCAGTACAGCTAGCTCATGACGGCCTGCGTATCTTCATTGACCTGTAATAACGCAATGTTTTAGCAACACTTTTGATGTCAACTTTACCGATGCGGACTACTACTGGAGTACTGCATCCATATGACCATATCTCCTTTGCTCAGTACTAATGGGAAGTCTACCGGTGCATATAACTCAGTGTTCACTTTGACAATTTGCTAAAGAGTCCATTGAAATCAAGGTTGTATTTGTCTTTAGTCTGCGGCCGCAAGGATTGTATAACATTTAGACAGTTGGGTTCAGGGTTCTTGATTGGCTTTCTACAGCTCCACTAGAAAAGGCTAACGTTTTTGCTGTAAAACTATGTGGCACGTTTGGAAAGTTACGAACCCTAGACGTTCAGGTATGTCCTACGTCCACTTTAGAGTAGATCTCTTTATCTCGCGTGCTCGAATTACAAGGGGTTGCTCAGCATTTGCAAGGTTCCGATTGAGTGCTCCCTCCCCGTCTTATATACTACGAGGGTAGGGTTATATAGATAGCGATATTTCCTAGTTAGTTATACGAAAATATTAACAGAATGACTATCGTATCCCGTATAGGTCAGCACCCAAGCTCCTCACGCCAGGTTGCTTGGCCTCCACTTCTGATGGCGTTCCCATAACTCAGGCGGGCCTTATCTTCGTCAGCCATCCTGATGGTGTTGGGCCTATATCGGGTCAGTGTGGTATTCTGGGTCCATATCACCGACAGTCCGAAGGATCTGATGACAAGCCAGTCGAATGACCCAGTCCTTTGGGGCACCAGTGTCGAAGATTCGCTTGTCGAAGCTCTCGAAAAAACAATGCCTCTAAAGGCTCAGTTTTCCAAACGCTTGCGCACGAACGTCTCCTTTGACCCTCCGGGTAACGCGCGTTATTAAGTCTTGTTACAGATACGGATGAATGAGCTAGGGAATCTGATGCGCCTCGTCGCCCTCGCATGAGTCACGGATCTTGACCGTTTCCCCTTCTCCATTATTGGCAAGGAAGGGCTATAAAAACCAGTGCGGTGGGTATCGCCCATTCACACCTCACCTCTCCCTTGCTTCTTGAGACCTTTAGATGTTGGGATCTTCTCCTTGCCGTAGTCATGGTGTCCTTCGTCCTCCAACACCGCTGGCAACGACATCAACATTGGTAGAAGTCCTTCAAGATTGCTCTCCCCAGCATCTGAGCGCGGCGGCGGCTGTTCGTCCTAGGTGCTAGTGGAAGCTTTGTGGAGACAAGAGGGAACACCACCATTGGTTGCCCGAGGGTACTGATTGCACATTGTAATTAGTGGTCCTGTGGTGTGGCCCCATGGCAGGTTTCATCAAGGGCGCTGGGATGCTACTGTGACGGCACCGAGGGATCGATCGATTACGTCCGTATAGAACGCTCAATTCACAAAGTTTTATTTGACAAGTACGAGGCATGTACGTAGGGTACGAATACATAGGACTTGCGACGACCGTGGTAAATGTGCTATTGTAACATCACAATCCACTGCTTTGTAGAGGCATAGAGGCCATGATGATAACATCCTCGGGGTTAGCCACTCATGGCGAGCTAGTTCAGCTGCCACTCCGGCTAATGATGAACGACACAGCCTTTTTGTGCTCATGCATGCATGGGGGCCGGGGGGCTGTTGAGCTTGAATCATCCAGATCTTGAATATGCGCCCGTTTGCGTACAGTCAGTGCCTGCTTAGTAGGAGTAGTATCTTTCTTTACGCAAAAACTTTGAAAGATTAAATTATTTTCAGATCCACATCCACTTGCCAGGTTATTAGGTTATAACCGTACCACAACGTGCATGGTTGCATTGCATTGCACAGCCCGTGAACTTGCATTGGAGGAGCAGCGACGACGACAGCATCCCCTTCAATGCATTGATGGGCGTTTGGTCGATGGATCGCGAGAGCTAGCCGCCGAGCGCGTATAGCACAGGTGGATCGACACGGGCGCACACACCACACGCCACGGCGCGTGCTGGCTGGCAGACAGGCACAGGCTCCCGCTCGCGCGCGCCCCGGCAAGCAACGTGGCCGCGACCACCGTACCAGCCGAGAAAAGCTGCCGGCCGCCCGTTGCCGTGCATGATGCGGTAGCAATTTTGCCACTGGCAAGGCAGCGCACGAAGAGAGAGAGAGCCTCCTCCTGGTCCAAAGTCCAAACGACCTGCATTGCATGCGCTGCGAGGCTGGACATCGTCCGTGAGACCGTGACTCGCCTGCGATCGAGCGTGACCACCCATCGGCACGCCGCACGCAGGCAGGACACACTCCAGGGGCGGAGCTAGAGCTAATTCGAGGGGTAAACTTTTATCACAAGGATGCAAATATGGCGAAAAATAAACATTATCATTGTTTTTTCGTTTTTCATTATCACTGTTTTTTTCGTTTTTATATAGATCCGGACGCAACCGGATCTAATTCTCTATATAGATCCTACCGCCGCTCCGACAATGGAGCCCCCCTTAGCCCCTCCTTGATTTTTTAGGAAGAAGGTAAGGGATGGAAGGTAGGAGAAGAAGAAAGAACCCCTCCTAACCTCATGAGCTGGATCCGCCCATGACACAGTCACACAGCGCTCCGCCGAGAGATACTCGTAGCGAAGTACTGGTAGGTGACATTCATATGGATGCGTCATGCGTGCTTGTTGGGGCCTTCTAAGCATTTTGCGTTGCAATTTGCATCGCCAGCAGTCTGACTGTGACTCTTATCACTTGCGTACATGCTCGCACAACGTGGCCCGCCACCTTATTCTCTTGCACGTGGGCCCTGCATATATAGATGCCCTTTTTGCATGGCATGGCACCAAAATTCCTTGGATCTGCCTGCCTGCAGGCTCGGCAGGCCATGTACACTGTTCCTGTGTCCATTGCATTACTGCGGTTGGCGCTGGGAGATGGGTACTGTACGAGTGCCCATGCAACGCAAGCTAAAAAAAACGAAACAGCGAGGCAGTGTACTCGTTGCTGAGGGTTGTTGGGCATGGCCGCAAGCCCGCAAGGGTAGCCTGGCCTGGCAGACGAATGTCTGTTTTTCCAGTGAAGAAAACATAAAAGGGGTCTGTTGTTGCTGGTCCTGTACTCCCCAAAATATGAGCAAGATGCAAATAGAAAAACGGTGCTTCTTTTTTTTAAAAAAATGGAAATATCTTATTGAAGGTGTCCTTCAGGCACAATTTCCTGGGTTGTTGTGCGGAAAAATAATAGATAAAGGTTATTGTGCTGCATGTACTGCACTGGTACGGTTGTGCATGCATCCTTATTATCCATGGATCTCTGAAGAAGAGGCCATTTCTTCAGAGGATAAGACGTACGGATTCTTAAGAAAGCCGCTGCTCAGTCGATTAACTTATTCCTACTACTACTTTGAGGGTTTTTTTTTTCATACAAGTGGCTAGTAAGTGAGTAGTCCCACATCCTCTCTAGACTAATGCTAGATTTATCTTTTACCTTTCCGTTCTAAAATATAGGCCATTTAAGTCAAACTTCTTCAGTTTTGAATATATTAGCATCTCTACAACACCACATAAATCGTTAAGACATACTCTATCCATTCCAAATAAGACATTTTGACTTTTCTAGGACCTGTTTGATAGAGCTCCATCCGATTCTAATTTTTTATGGAACCTGATTCTCTAAGAGATTAGAAGTGATTCTGTGGCTGAAATGGTTCTCTTTGATTCTTTAGCATAAGCTCTTAAAATCACGATGGAGAATCACTTCACACAACAAAGAGAAACTAACTTTTTAGCGAAGAATCACTTCACATAATCAATACAGAATCAATTCTCTCTGAAAAATTGTTTGATAGAGCTCCTGCTGGATTCAGTAGAGAATCAGCTCTCGGAGCTCTGCCAAACGGGGTCCTAGATATATAGTTTTTATTATGCACTTAGATATACACTATGTTTAGATACTCCATAAAAGTAATATATCTAAAGAAAAAAGACAAATATTTTATAATTTGGAACGAAAGGAGTATTTCATAATGGTTTTAATGAAAATAAATTTGATGTTGTAGATGGCGGTATAATATTATTTTCCATAACCTGTGTTGATTGATTTGGTTGTAGTTTGTATGTAACTGCAAGGCACTTGAAATAGGCTGCATATAGTTACCGCCTAAGTTTTGAGAGCTAGCTTAGGTGTTTATAAGAAATGTGGCTATTAGGAATCTGATCACATGTAAGACGTTTTGATTTTTTCTAATTATATATCTTTTGCTATGCACTTAGATATACACTATATCTAGATATATAGTAAAAACATCATTTGACCACTAAACGTAGGCTAACCACATCTGAAGGCTTATGGTTCAGTTTGCTTTGAAATACCAAAATGGAATAACCTGACCACCTAGAGTACCTTCCTTGTATTCTTCTGTTATTGTAAAACATTAACCATCTGCACATTTCCCCTTGAGGCCTTTATGATCATGAAAGGGTATATATATTTACGCAGCAGGTTTTAGAGGCTAATATAGTGTTACTTCATTCCACATTATGTTATGTTAGTTGAATATTAGTTCAAAACACTTCAGATGATAGAAAACACTGTAGTCTATAGGGTCGATCGAGTTCTAACCCAAAGCAGGCCAAATTTGGTGAAGCCCTAATAGCGCCATCCAGTTCCTAGTAGATACTAGCTCTGAAGCAATATAGCATCAATGAACGCAACAACCTTCCGTCTCTGCTTGTGTTTGCAAGGAAACCGCGATCCAGAGGGTCCGATCCTGTATTCCAGTCCACGCGGCATGAATCCATCATCATGGACAAGCTTGAGACAGGACGCCGCCTCCATCTCACTGACAGCTCAACTCAGATCCCTCGCCATCATTGTACACAGAACTCCCAACCCTAACTACATCAGCACTAGCTCAGCTAGCCAGACAAATCCAGCGAGCATTCTGAATGCCGTGCCGCCCAGTGGTCCTTGTTAATTGCCTCCGGGGCTAGCTCCAGGTTAAGGCTGTGTTTAGCTCGCGAAATAAAATTTTTTAGATATCACATCGGATGTTTCGAGGATGTCGGAAGGGGTTTTTGGATACTAATAAAAAAAACTAAGTACATAGCTCGTCTGGAAACTACGAGACGAATTTATTAAGCCTAATTAATCCATCATTAGCGCATATTAGTTACTGTAGCACCTATGGCTAATCATGGATTAATTAGTCTTAAAACATTTGTCTCGCGATTTCCAACCAAACTGTGCAAGTTTTTTTTCGTCTATATTTAATACTCCATGTATGTGCTGCAACATTCGATGTGATAGTTTGGGCTGAAAATTTTTTAGAACTAAACCAGGCCTAATTACAAATCCATCCATGGTGCATATCCGCCAGTAGCTGCAGCACTGCATCTTCTTGTCCAGAGCTAGTAGGACGCGTTTACCAGGCGGTAAGATCAGCTTAGCGCCAGCTAATCATGTAATAATCCTCGATGCGATAGCTTTAATCCAGCTGATCAATCATATCATCAGATGGTATCTATCACCTGACATAAACTTAGTTCTGAAGACTCATAGTAGTGCTATGAACTGGCGCAGTAACTAAAATAAGTAAATATTAATTGTTTGATTAGTACGTGCGTAATTAACAGCGTTGTACAGCAGTGCTAATGGAGTAGAGTAATTAGCTAGTCAACACTCAACACGGGGATGCCTCGATCTGGCTACCCCAGCTGCTGGTTAGTCCGGCACACAACTCTTGGCTACCGATCGATCAACGATAAAAAAATGCTTGCTTCATTTGAAGTTTTGAACGAACGGAGACGTCGGGACTCAGAAGTGATCGAACAGCTGATGCACGTCGGCGGCCTTGTCGCACCGGTGCAGGGCGGCCGGGGGCGGCACCACGGGCGGCGGCACCGACCGCAGCAGCGCGAAGTTTAGGCCCTTGAAGAAGCCGTGCGCCTTCACGTCGGCGGCGCCGCGCTTCGACCCGAGCCGGGTGCCCGGGTCCTTGTCCAGGAGCCGCGCGATCAGGTCGCGTGCCGCGGCGGAGTCCCCGACCCCGTGCATGTGCGTGGTCGTCGCGGCGGCCGGGAACTCCAGCGGGAGGCGCACGATGTTGCGGAGCGTGGCCTCGTTGCTCTCCCCGACGAACGGGGTGCGCCCGTAGATGAGCTCGTACATGAACACGCCGTAGGCCCACCAGTCCACGGCCGCGCCGTGCCCGCCGCCGCGGGCGACCTCGGGCGCCACGTACTCGTGCGTGCCCACGAACGAGCTGGACCGCGCGTCCACGGGCTCCGCCACGAACCGCGGCCGCGGCGCGGCGCGGCGCTTCCACCGCCGCAGCCGGAGGAGCTGCAGCTCCGGGATCGGGAGGCAGGTAGGCTGTGCCGGCTCCGCCACATCCTCCTCCCTGTTGTCGCTGACGTTCCTCGCGTCCTCGAGAGCCGGCGACGCCGTGGACTCCAGCGACAGGTCGAAGTCGGTGAGCATGATGTGGCCGTCGCCGCGTATCAGCACGTTCTCTGGCTTGAGGTCGCGGTACACGATGCCCATCATGTGCAGGTACTCGAGCGCGAGGAGCACCTCGGCGGCGTAGAACCGTGCCGACGCGAGTGGGAAGCGGCGGCCCGGCATGCGGTGGCGGAGGGAGTGGAGGTCGCCGCCCGGGCAGAACTCCATGACGATGCACGAGTAGTCCGTGCCGGCGTCGAAGTCCGCGAACATGGTGGGCAGGAACGGGTGGTCGAGCCGCCGCAGGACACGCTTCTCGGCCGCGGCGCGGGCCAGCTTTCCCTTCTTGGCGAGCGCGCGCCGGTCCACCACCTTCATGGCGTACTCGCACGCGGACCCCTCGGCGGCCTGGCTCTCGAGACGGCAGAGGTAGACGGTGCCGATGTCCCCGGCCCCGACGCGGCGGAGGAGCGTGAAGTCCCGCGGGCCGAGCGCCCGGCCCCGGATGGGCGCCCACGCCACGTCGCTCGCACGGTGCGGCCGCGGCGGGGACGACGACGGCGTCGCGGCCGACGACGAGTCGACGGAGAACGTTGACGAGCGGTCCGCTTGGCTGCTGCCGGCGCTGCTGCTGCTGCAGCAGCAGCTCGCGGAGCTGACGCTGGAGGCTGCGGGCGCCGCGGCGTCGGGGCAGGGCGACGGCGACTGTGGCTCCAGCATGGTGCTGGCGACGTGGTTTGGAGGCTTGGGCGGTGGCGACGACGCGGGCGCGGCGGTTGCGGTGGTGGACGAGGAGGCCGGAGCGGCCATTATATAGCGATGTGGTTGCTTCTTGCGTTGGATCGGTAGATGTCTGGTTTGTTGTGTTTTTTTCTAATGGAGGTTTGCGCGTTCGGCTTCGGCGAAGGTAGTTGCAGGCGCGCAGCACGGCTTTATAGCTAGCCCGTGGCAGAGAGAGCGAGCACACGGAAACCTTCAGCTCAGTGTTGGCTGGTGTCGAGAGCACGTGGACGTGCGTTGCAGGTGACGCCATCCACGGTGACTACACAAACGCAGAAGGTTCCTTCTTGTGAAAATTTTCAGTTACTACGTCTGTAAACCAACATAGCATGCATCAATTTAGCATCAGCCTCTATTGTTTTGTAAATAGGTGGTGCACTGGTGCTAATTGTTGGAGCACACCCAATGCAAAATATATGCATGGTTGTCTCGAGTAAAGAGTTTATTTCCATGTAGATTTAAGCTCCAAGACCACCAGATCCACGTCGGAAAAGAATACTAGCTTTTGTACACTCTTAGACCCACCATGTTCTCTTCTCATTTCTCCTACTCTCACATGTCACAGCATCTCTAGCAACATGCAATGTAGAAACGCCTCTTACATCCTGGAAGCCACTGCTTGATCTATCGTGGCATCCGACCTATCTTTCAACTTGAGTCTACAGGTGTGTCATCACATTGGGGCTGACCTTAGACGACTAAAAAACCACTCATTTCGATTGACTAACATACAATTGATTATTTGCATTGTGACGTTCACAGTGTCATTGTCTTCCTTCGGCACCTATGCTTCTTTTCTCTCACTCAAACATGTAACATGACCGAGCTCCTTTGCGTTCCCCACTTACCACTGGCTATCACCCCCTCCGCGCATATGGTAATCTAGTGGTGTCATCGCCCTGACCCATTCTTTCTTATCAAGATGTCCTCATCTGTCCCTAAGCCACCATTATTGTTGGACTTATTTACTACCCCGAAGCGTCCATCTCTAAACTTTGCGACCCTCGGTTCTTCCCCTCCTATAACCCTAATAATTACCCTCTCTCGAAAACAAATCTATTAAACGATTACATAAACTCATTGATGCTTGCATTGCCCGTGAAGCACCCAAAAATACATTCTCTCCAATCATAAGTGCTCGATGTTGGTGCTCAATAGTGTAACTTAGACGATTCTTTTCTATTTGAATACATTCATAAGAAAAGCTATTGTATGATGAAATTAAGTTCTCAATCCTCCACAATTTATACGTTAAAAATAATAGCACTCCCGCCGGTTAAAAACATATTAAAACAAGATTTAGTCAAATATAAAAACTGCAAGTATCAATAACATATTAACATGTAAGTTATTTAGTTTGGGAACATATAAGTTATATGTGTAAACTATATCAAGAATACTTGCAAATCTCATAATTTGGTGGTTTTAAAAATATATTCTAGAATAAATTAGTGGACAAACACGTACACAAAGACTCCAGAAAATCAAATTATAAAATTATTTTTTACATGAGGGTGTAATAGTTAAAGTCTTAGAAGTCTATCCAACATATTATTATATTAAGACAGAGGGTTGTATAGATCTCCAATGGAAAAAAGTTTACCTAAACAATCTAACTGTAGGCAATTGTCTACTTCACCTGCTCACTTGGAAAACCATGTATTCTACCACTAAAGTACTCAAATTGTCTAAATACCCCTTAGGCCGGTTTTACTGATGTGGCATATACTTGAGTGTAGATATGATGGTGAGTCAGCAAACAATAGAAAAAAAGTTTTTATAACCCCTTATAGCATACTAATGGTTGACTACATAACCCCTTAACTATAAAACTCGATATTGCCCTTAAAGCATCTATAATGTATAAATAGCCCCGAATGGCTCTTTAGGGCCGTTTTGATACCATATTACGCCACGTGGCTCGAGTACCCATGCTTGCATATAGACACATATGTCGGATTGTCACCTCCCTCTTCCTACTCTTTTTAGGCTACACCACTATTGGACTAGCAACATATGACCTCGTGCCTTCTTCTCCACCTCATGCATGACTACTTGACATCATTGAACTCGTCATCCGTCCCTTCGACGTCCTCCATCCCTCTCACTTTATTTTTCCCTCGTATAGCTACCCAAAACTGAAGGACCAAACAAGTGACTAGATGGGATCGATGATAATAAGTGATTGTCAATGGAGTTACGCTTCAGCTAGTTCTTGAGAAGATCTTTTGTTCGCCTCCATTCAGCCCTCTAGCCGTCTCTCTAGTCCTTCAGTTTTTTGTTCAGTCGTTCTGTACTCAAGTTATAAAATTAGGTGTGTTCAGTGATAATGATGATTGGTCATTTTGCCCTTAATATATGAATTAGCACTTTAGCAGCAGCGTAATCCTGGGTTAGGAAAAGCTCGGACAGCCTAATCCATTCCAGAGTGTGGTCCTTGCTCTTTACTTAAAGGCATGGTGTGGCGCAACGGCGCGGTGCTAGTGCTGGCCAGCCTCGCTCACGCGCTGCTTTGGGTTGCCGCGGCCGGGGACGAGCCGCCTGACGCCCAGGCAATAACAAAAACCAACCTTGTCGTACGTAGTACGTATATATGTACATGGCCAGATCGACCGCCAGAACTGACCAAGAATTCTACTACAAAGTTGTCTTCTTTGGAGTTCTTGCAGCGTTGGCTCCTGCTCCTCAGGATACATTCATAACACTGACTACCATAAAAATTTCATTGAACCCCCCCCCACCCGCTCCCTTCCCTCGGCGACGCCTGCCCCTCCGCGCTTCCACCCACGCCACCCCTCCATCCAAGCACCAATCCGACCCAGCCAACACCAGATCCGAACCCCCAGCAGCCTGATCTATCCATCCATGGGGGTCGCGAGGTCGCCCCATCGCTTCCTGGGGTGGCCACGGCTGCTTTGGAGCCGTTCGCCCCCACCCTCAGCGCCGCCCTCAGATCGGTCGTCATGCCGCCGCCCCCAGCAACCATAGCAGCCGCCCCCTCCCAACCGGTCCTAGCCCTCCGCTCGGCCAGGGATTTCCCCAAATTCCGACTGCCGTCTCTCCTCCACCGGTGGTTGCCATGGGTGGAAGGATGGAGGACGAGACAACGGTCATCGTCGAGGACGTCATGGAAGGCGAGGACGAGGAGGATGATGATGATGTCGAAGACGACGACGAAGCCAGTGAAGCTGCGCGGGCGTCCGCACTGTTAGCCACAACGCGGGCGTCCGCACCTTCACTGCCGGTCACTGCTCCAGCGATGGTCGCATGCTCGGGCAAGTCCTTGCCGTCCTCCCTCTCCCCGCATGTCCCACCCTTCTTCCCTGCCCATCAGTCGACTGGCAGGAGCAAGTTCCGACGTTGGGAGGAAGACCCTGCGCGGGCAGCTCCGACGACGAAGTCGCCCCTACCATGCGCTTGTCGTACCTGGACGTCGCCCGAAAGGCTCTCCGGGCCACGCCTCCACCGACGGTGAGGTCTCCGGACACGACACAGAATGCAGCCACCGTGGGGGGGGTAACCACCCGGCGGCTACCAAGGGGAAGCGCCATCATCGGCGCAGGACCTGCGCGCCTGTTGGCCGGGGGAATCCACCATTGCAGGCTGCGCGAGTGCCCGCGCAGCGTCACCTTGGTCCACAGCCGGCGGCAAGAGTCTCAGTGCACCAGCGCCTCGGCCCACAACGTTGAGCGTCCGTGCCTGGCACGTCTCGGCAGCCTCGTCAGAGGCCCAACGTCAACGCCGATGGATTCCAAATTGTCGAGGGTCGTCGTCAGTGGCGCTGTTCGGGGAGAACGACGCCCAAACCCCACCGCCCCGTCCCGCCGGACCTCATGGGTCTCTGCTTCAACTGCTTCGCGCACGACCACGTCGCCGCTCAGTGTCGCTCCCGGTCCCGTTGCCGGGGGGACCGGCCATCGAGCAAGGGTGTGCAAGCGTTGTCGTTCGCCGGCGTGCAACGAGGCCCTTCGCCGGCGTGCAAGCCTTCGGCGCATCACCCCTGCTGGAGTGTGGAACGTCGCCCTGCTGGTCCGAGGCGACCCAGCTTGTCGCTGGAATGTCGCGTCGCGCCAGGTCTGACGCCCACAACGTCATTGCCTTGTCGTGTGCAGCGGTCGACCGCACCGTCATCGTCGTCGCAGCAGCACCACAACAACAGCCTGCCGGTATCACCACCTCTGGGTGACGTTGATAACCGTCCCAAGATCGAGGTCTTCGAGGTCCAGAGGAACATGGAGCTCACCACACCTGGAGTGGACCTCTCCCTTGTTCTCGTCGCACTCGTTGGTGGAGACTAGCCAGCCGTCACGCCGGAGGAGTTCCAGGCACACCTTTCCTCGAGGTTCCGTGTGTCTGTGGGCGTGGCCGGGGTCTGTGCTTGGCTTGGGGGCCAGTTTGCATGCGTGTGTCGGCTAGATGGCCACTCTAGCGTCACCATACAGGGAATACAAGCGGTGCACCATGAGCCTAAGCTCGTAGTGGACCGTTGCTCGGAGGAGCGTTGGGACTTCGATCCCATGCTGGTTGAGGCGGAGGCATGTCTGACCAAAAGGCCACATCAGGCAGGTCCCACGAGCCTGGCCGTCTCGGAGGTGTGGACCAGGCAGTGGACCTGTGCCTTTCAGGCCCAGATGAGTGCAGCTCGGGCCAAACCTCACCAAGGCCCTCGCTCTTGGTGCCGGAGCAGGCTAGAGGATCCCCACCCCCGGTTCAGGTCGACTTCCCCGCCAACCAGCTAGGTGCACACGGAGGCGGCCTAGCCACACCGGCTGTTGATGCCAGTGCGCCTGACGCGACGGCCGTAACGTCAACCGAGGACTTCATCGCTGCATTCAAGAAGCCGCTCACGATGCCTATCTTGTCGTCACCTCCACAACTGCGGCTAACCCGGGCGGCCAGAGCACGGGCAGGGGAGCTGGACGACTTGGAGCTCATCCCCAAGAGGAGCGCTAGGCTTGCCGCCAAGAGCAGGCACAGGAACAGAAGTCGGAGGCTCAAGCGCGGAAGGTGATGATGAAATGTCTAGGGCT